GGTAAATATGGTTTGTGGCAGAAATGATGACTTTCCTGGATACACATGTAGTGCTCCTCTTTCCTTTCTTCTGTCTTATGGTGATTCTTTTGGTTAGATCTCTATACTTGAGTCCCTAAGTCTACTATAACCATTAGGAGGGTACCATTCACCCTGTTGGATTATTTTGGAGAATGCAACAGGAGATGCTAGAAATGCAAGGGTAGGCAGAAACATACAAAATCCCCTGATGGAAAGGGACAGGTTTGTAAATTATGGCAGGAATGTTTTACTTTTGAAAAATCCAAAGACATATAAAAATCTATGAGTTGTCTTACTCCACCAAGCCTCACCCATAGATAAATTATCATTTTTGGGTGGATTGGCCTTTTAACCCCTTGCCGTCCTCATGGGCGGATGGCCGATACTTCCCGGCGGGTGTACGTACATTTACATAATTTTTTTATCTACCTTGAGCAGGATCATGCCGGGGCTGTGGACAACCGTTACCGACTGTTATATACAAGTGCTCAGCCGGATCTATAGCCAGCCAATTGCTTGTATTCTCCTCCTTCTCTCTCTAAAGGCGGAAGTGATGTCTATTACACCACTTCTGCCTTTAGCTGTCATTTCTCTGGCTGCTATAGCCAGAGAAGAAGCTGGTGAAGCAGATGAGATCTCTGCTTCATCAGCTTCTTTGGGGGTCCCCAAAGAAGCTGATGAAGTTGACTTTAGAGATGAAGGTGACATTAGAGACCCCTGATGTCTCCATAAAAAGGACCTGTCATTGTTTTTTGGCTATCACATAGGGGGATTTTTATCCGCCTAAAAAATCAAGTGTAAAGAAAAACACCCAAAAAAGTTTTAAGTCCCCCAACCCAGCGTGCATGCACTTATTAACGTAAATATGTTCCGGGTGCACCTACGTGCAAAAACAACGCAGTGAGAGCAATCATTTTAGAGCCATTAATCACTGATACCACTAAACTGATGAGAGGTAAAAGCTTTTAAAGCGTTGCCTATGGCTAATTTAAGGCATGGTAGTTTTTTGCGTTTTCATGATCGCACGCAATTTTAAAGCTTGACATGTTTGGTGTATATTTACCCGACGTGACCCCATCTTTAATATTTTACCAAAAAATTGGGTGCTGATAAATGTTTTATAACATTAAAAAAAATAGTTTTTTTCAAGATTTTGAGTACTTTTTTCATTATATAGTAAAAAATAAAGTGCTGCATGACGGAATAAATGTCAGTCAAAGTACTGCAGTGCTGAATACTGAAAAATGGCCTGGACAGGAAGGGGGTTTAACAGCAATTGGTAAATGCCTTTATTTTTATCTCTGTATATTAGTAATGTCAACTTAAAGTGTATTTCCACTTTTGCAGCCAAATTGGGATAACACCTATTTTATATTTGTTACATGTTCCCATTCATATAGCATAAGCTAAACAGATATTTAAAAAAATACTTCTTGCATTTTTACTTGCTTTTACTTGGGTTAGGGTTTCTTGGCTTTTTAAGTGTTAACATTTCAACTTTCTACTAATGTTAGGAAGGGTTGTGAGGGATGAGGGGTTTGTTAACCCTGTCTGTACTGTGCTGGCTCATTTTATTATAGCTTGCAAAGTAGATTTGAACAGTGCCTTTCCTAACAAAGGGTTAAAGAATTAAAAGCCTGCTGCTGCATTATATGTTAATGAGAAAACCAAACATATAAAGGGTTTTCTAGAATTTGACTGCAAAAGTAGAAATACACTTTTAATATAAGTGCTATTGTATTAGTTAATAAGGGGCCTCCCCAGTTGTATGTGTTTCCTTAAAACTATCTGGGTTATGTAAGCACATGCACAGGAATATTTATTGTATTTAACCCTTTCCCTGCCACTGACATAAGGCTTACAGCGGAATCCAATTGTTTCCTGCTGGCCATGTCAGTAAGCCTTCCGTCGATGGCTTTTATGGTTCTGCTATAAGCTCTTATACCAGAACTGTTCCCCTGACGGTCCCCTTTAAAAAAAAAAAAGCTATTATCAGCAGCTGACCAGCCACTGATGACAGCTACTACCAAAAATCCAGAGGGCCCCCCCTTCGCCGGCACTGGTGCGGCTGGCCGCTGCAAATCTAAAGCCTCTCCTCCCCGCCTCCAGGCTGGTATCTCTTTCTCCTCGGATCTCCGCTGCTGTCCCCCATCTGAATGGGCTGAGGCAGCGGGGATCCGAGGAGAAATAGCTGGGGGGGGGGGCGGAGTGCTGCATGAGTGCTAAGAAGCACAGCGCCGCCTGTGCTTGACTGAGGGGGTTGGATGGCCAAGCGGAGGATCTGTAAATATCTGTGATATACACCAATCTTCTGTATGCACGACAAACCAATGTTTGTGAATAACTGGGGACACATAGTGCTATGTGTCCCCAGATATGAATGAACATGAAGTGCTTTGCATCACTTTCTGTTAATTCATGAGTTTCTGAATAGGTAGTAGCACTCACTATAGAGGCTTCTATCCGTTCATACCTGGATGATAGTTAATATTTTACAATCACCAGTTTCTGAATGAATGGGAGGCCTTTGTACTGAGTGCTTTCCATTCATTTAGAACAGAGGCTGCAGAAAAAGAGATTGAGGACTTTGTGTCCTCAATTTCTTCCTCTATTTCAAAAAGAAAATGTCAGGAGTCTGGATGGTATTTAGCATAAGTTGTTTACAGTTTTGTGTTACTGCAGTTTTTTACCGTTTCACAAAAAGGCACAATTTAAAGTTGACAAATATTTGTTATTTATTAACTCAATACAGTTTTATCTTTTAGACTGAGTCAGAAAAGTATTTTTTGTGTGTACTGAAACTGATTTTAGTGTGCTTTCATCAATTTAATTGTGTATTTTTATTGGTTTAATATTGATTTGACAAACATTTGCACAATTACCGCAGGACCTACAAAATTAGTAGCACCATCTTTTTTTTCTGCCAGGTCTGTGCTTTTTAAAAAAAAAATGGTTTGGGGGGTCTTTTACAAATGCTAGCAACGCAGCAGTAAAAAAAATCAAAACAATGGCAAAGATGGGAAAAATTGCAAAAATGGTCTGGCTAGCTGAGGTTTAAAGCACTCCGGAGGGCTTTTTGCTGCCATTTTTCTTGTTTCAGAGACGACATCAAATCAGGATGTGCACAATACAGTTTTGGGTATATATTGGACAATGAAACCACTGAACAATCTATTATATCTCTGAGGTATTCTGTGATAAAAAGTCATAACTCTGAGCTTCATCTTATGAATTCTGTGATTCAAATCTGGGTTTCAAAGACAGAATTCTGAGTTTTAAAGTCAGAATTCTGAAATTAAAAGTCAGAATTCTGAGTTTCAAAGGCAGAATTCTAACATTAAAAGGCTGAATTGTGAGTTTCAAAGTCATAACGCTAAGATCGAAGTCAAAATTATATCTTTGAAATGTAGAATTCTGACTTTTAATGTCAGAATTTTGACTTTGACATTCAGAATTCCTTTTTTGAAATTCAGAATTATTTTTTTTAAATCTTAGAGTAATCAATTTTAAACAGGAATTCTAACTTTAAAAGTCAGAGCATGAACTTTTCAGAAAAAATTAGGTCCAAAATGAATCCAGCACTTCTTCACTTATCTTTTTACATAAAGTAATTGCTTAGTTCTGGCCCATTGTGCACTTCTGCCTTTACCCGCCATTTTGATGGGCCAAATTATTGACCGGTAATTAGATGCAGGAGGCATTGGGACCTAGCACTTTCATTTAAAAATTATAGCAGAGCACCTTTAGAACAAATCTGAAGCTACCACAGGCTCCTGGAGGTGCTGCTGTTGATAAGGATGATGGCTTTATACACTGCTGGTGAGGACAGTTACAAATTAATAAGGCAGTACAAAATGCAATAATTATGTGAAAATTGTATGTTTGCACAGGGTCACAGAATTAAAAAAATATAAGCAGAAATGTGATCAATTGGATAAGATAACTGTAAGAGACATGACTGTTGTGTGCTTTTGCATTTTGCACATAGCTCTCTCCCTCAAAATTCTCATTTAAACACTAAAAGATACCAGATACTGCAAATTATGACCTGCAAACATTATATATATATA